GAGTCCACAACAGATACAGGTAATATTGTGACCAAAGGAGGCATGGGTCGCACTGAGGAGGTGCCGGGGGATCAAAAGCGCGGAAGAAATGAAAATTTTGGGAAGAGAAATCACGAGAGGACACGAGAGGATCCAACAGGAGAGAACATGACTCTAGATATACCAAAAAATGGGGAGGTGGCAGGTCTGGGCTTCTAGACCCGCCGGATGTGCGACTGGTGATTCTGCTCAGGAGGACTAATTATGGTGTTTGTTTCTTTGCATTTTTTCTTTTTGATTTCCACGTTCAGACTGTTGTTTTTTCTTCTTGCATTAGGATTGTGTGATGAGAGGTCTGCGGTAATCGTCTTTGGCTCAATTTTACCCAATTAAGAATAAGCGAGTTATATTGCTTTGTCAAAGGTGACTAACTCTGAGTCCGGTTCAAGGGCTAATGGTTGCATGTGGTTCTTTTGTTATTTTAACCCATATCTGAATGTTGTGATATCAATCTAAACCTCCTTCTTCCAAAAAAAAGATGATGGGTTTAGTATTTTGTCCAAAATTCGAATTCAGGTTTCATTCACACCTAAATTCAAAACAATTCTGAGTAGACATCAAATTAACATCGCGTTTGATTTGATATTGTTGGGGTATTGGACCCAAGCCCAAATACTCAGGGGCAGCGCAGCTAGTGTGCAGGCCCAATTTTTGCACACTAGAGTCATGAGCTCGTTCGAGACATCCCGCTTGGGATTTGCGGGACAGAAATATTCTAATACTTGGTGTTTTTCCTACTAGTGTTGGTTGTATTATGGGGAGCTCCCTAAAGCAATTTGCGGGAAAGTCAGAATTGGTGACAAACACATTTAATGCACTAGATATGGAGGATTTTATGGTTGGAGGCTATCCACTCAGGGCTCGACATATTACTGTATACCTATCACCTTGTAATATAAATACTCGCATTTACTTCATTGTAAAAGGTTGTCAAACTTACATTCAGAGCCCGTTTGGTGACTCTGCTTTTCGGCCTATCAGCCAACTTTTTCACCAAACACGTGACTTTTGATTCCGTGCGCTGAATTGTGTAATAATAAGAAAAAGTAAAGTCGAAGTTACTTTTCTGATTGTATTGATTGAAGTTACTATAGAAAATCATTTTAGCTATTTTTCATATAATTTTTTATTTATTTTATTAATACAATATATTTTTAATATTATTTTTCCATGAATCGGCTGAATCGGTCAATCCAGCCACTTCAGCCAAAACTTCATAAATTTCAGCGAAATGAGCCGATTAAGCCAATTTTAGTGCTACCAAATGGGCTCTCAATAGCTTGGACTTTTCTCTAGTTCTTCTGTAATATATCGGTGTAGAATAGGGGGTCGTGATTCGAGCTCAGTAAGAGTGTCCTGTAGTTTATCTAAGTTCGTAATAGAACTTAGCTCACTTTATCTCTCATCCTATTGCTATTGCTTTTGCCTTTATACGTGCCCAATATACTCACTAAAATACACAATCCATGTAGATCCTTCAAAAGGCCAAAAGACTCTGTTGAACTTTTGGACCACGAAGACTTAACTTAACAAGAGTCCTAAAAATCATATCATATTTGATTTATAATATATTGCAGAATGAGTATTATTTACACCAAAGTTCGAAAAGAAGACTTCATTTAGTCCAAATATACTAAGAAGTATACTTTAACCCCTTTCAAACCAGTTGTGAATAAAGCATCAATTTTTTATTCTATTTCTTAAATAAAGAACTTATTTATTTGGCAAAGGAAGAGAGTGAATAGTCTATATCAACAATGATATGAGACACATGTTGAAAAGGTCTCATCTATCCTTTCAAATCACTAATCTCGCAACAACGTAGTCTACTATAACAGTCTTAATGTATTGAACTATTACAACGAAAAGATAAAAAGTTATAAATAAAAGATCTGGCTTTATCAGCCACGGGAAAATGGAGAAATGATTTCAACAACAACCAATAAAGAAACTCTTCCAAGAAGAAATTGCTTGAATCAATGATTTGACCAGCCACGAAAGGGAGATCTAATTGAACTCTAATTTTCTCTCATAGTGTGACAGTTGTTCTAGAGGCGATAAATAACTCAGGCCTCAAAGTCACTGATATCAAGTGTCAACATTCTAGAAAAACTAGGTCGGAAAAAGCTTTGTGAACCACAAGCAACAAAAATTCATCGCTAGTCAGTAACAATAATGACGAGGAATATATTATGTCTAGGCATCGCTGGAAGAGAAACACATATAAAGCCCGTTTGGCAAATTTTATATTCAGCATAGCAATTAATTTTTTTACCAAACACGTATTTTTTAATTTCACGCGCTGAATTGTTTAACAATCAAAATAAGTAAGGTTAGGATTGCTTTTTGACTGAATGACTAAAGAAATTGTTTCAACTAAAACACATTTGAATGTGAATTAGCTGAAATGGTTGAAGAGGAGCTAACTTCATACATAATTTCTCATGAATTTGTTTACAAATTATAACACTTCAAATAAGAAAATGCAATGGTATTTTTATAAATAAATTCAACTTTTTCTGCCCATTTGAAGTGCTCATTATTTTTTCCAATAAACATGCACCTTCATGAACTATAATGTGCATCGTTTCAGATGGTTCCCACTTCTCACAGAAATAAGTGTTCTCACATGAATCAGACTCTTTTTTTACTCCAGGGGGTTCTGGGGGAGGGGGGCTGGTGGAAGCCTGGAGTAATCAGGGCTGAAACTCACTCCATTGAGTTTCAAATCATTATGTGCCTACCAAATTTCGAACTCGAGACCTCCCACTAGACACGGTAACCTCGCAATCAGCTGGGCTGGAATGCTTGGTTCATGAATCAAACCCTATATGTGTGTGTTACACATACATATATATTCACCTATGAAATGTAACTTATAAAAATATAACTTTAAAACAAAAGATGTATGCCAATTTCTATGAAAGACTAAAAGAAGACTTTGGATTTTTTTAGTAGACAAAAATGAGCCTTTATCTTAATATATCGCTAAAGAAGAAAATAAATAGCACTGAAAGATAAATTTTAAAAATAGAAATCACAAATCTAGTCTTCTGTCCCTCGTCACCGTTCTCTTCTCACCGATATTGATGCTTCCAGTTTTCTATCTCGCCCATTCATTCAAAATCTCCAGTCGAGCATCGGAAAAGAGCGGAGGCGGTGAACGATGGCGAACGATCTTGCTGACGACGGAGACGGACGCTCGATGAAGCCGGATGATGACCCTATTACACAACAACATGATGATCAATGTAATCCACCTAGGGTTTGTTCGACAAAGGTGGCGGCTAGACAGCTAGTCATTGGACATTGGCCAGTCACTGTTGTCATTAGTCACTAGCGTCGGAGTCACTAGGGTCAGAGTCACTGAGCGTCAAAGCCATGGGAACGGTGGAATCATTGTTGGTCGAAGTCACTGACAACCGTTGTCCTTGGACGATAGTCAGTGAGCTTGGTATGTGTAATTTAGTACTCCCTACGCCCCCTATCTTTTCTCATCCTACCTTTTTCGTGTGTCCAAATGATGTTGTCTTATAAAATACGTAGTATTTTGTAGTATTTGGATTTACAATTCATTCTTACCTTATTCATATTTTATCAATTTTATACTAATCACACAATTTCACTCTTCTTTTTCAAAGTTAGGCGATAAAAGTAGTACCATTCATTTGTGAGTTTCCAGTTTTAGGACTAAATTAGTCATTTTTAAAAATAAAAGGGAAATTTTCTGAAATAGGAGTAAAAAAGTTTGAAAATTCAAAAATAGGACTTTCATGTTTTTATTCCCAAAATAGGAGTAATTACTGCCAAGTTTGAAAAATACTGTCATGTTTAAAGTTTGGTACTGTCAAAACATGGCAGTAATTTGTCTTATTTTGGAAATAAAAACATGATAGTCTTATTATGGAATATACAAACGTTTTAGTCCTATTTAAGGTACTGTCAAAACATGGCAGTAATTTGTTCTATTTTGAAAATAAAAACATGATAGTCTTATTTTGTAATATACAAACGTTTTAGTCCTATTTTGGAAGTAATACTAATAGGGTTTTAGTTGACGAAAATGTGACTAAAACTCAATTGGACACAAAAGTAACATTTGGTTACTTCCGTTGCTCCGTATCTCTTGATGCCAAAAGCCCAAAACTATCGCTACCCTAAATTAGCGTCTCCTCTCACCCCAAACCCGGAGCTTTTGCAACTGACATGAAGTTCAGCCTTTGCCGCCGTCACTGAAGAGTCGCTGCCGCTGTCTTTGTGAGAGCCGCGGCCGCCGCCACCGCCACTGCCCTACTTTAATCTTCTCCTTCTTCATTTTCTGTGTGATTTAGTTGATTTTGATGGAGGCTTGGGTAGAGAACATGAAATGATGCTATAGTCAGAGGCTAAGGTTCGTTAATGGCGCGGCGGAGCCAGACCATTGGATCTAGGGTATGTTAATGGCGTGGCGGAGCTAGGCGGTTGGGGCTAGGGTACATTAATGGTTTGGCGGTTAGGGTTAGGTTTGGGGTAGTGGGGTGCAAATTTGGGTGGCGGCGCGGCGCAGGGGCTAGAAAGGTGAGGTTGGGGTGGTGCAAGAGTGGGGCTTCCGATGGTGCTGTGACGGTGGTGCGGTGACCATTGGCGGCGCAGTGACGGTGGTGCATTGAAGGTGGTGTGAAGGTACTGTGTCACTATGCTGGAATGACTTTGGCAGTCACTATGGTTGTGTCACTATGATCGAAGTCGTTGTGACCAAACCGCCGGAGTCATTGTGGCTGGTGGGTGGACAGTCACTATGCCCGGTCGGCGGTGGGCAGACAGTCACTGTGGCCGATCGGCGGTGGGCAGACAGTCACTGTGACCGATGGACGGGCAATCACTGTGGTCAATCTCATTGCGGTCGGAGTTACTTTGATTGGAATCACTTTGTCATGCAATGTATGATTTTGAAATTGGTCACATTTTTAGAAATATGAAAAAGATGTCACACTTTTGTCATTTATCTTCGTTTAGAAATAATACCCGTAGTATTTTTTTTTTTTTGGGAGATATTTGTGGGAATACATCTTACAGAAGTTAGATGAAAATCATGGTAGAAGGGGAAATTTGGCACTTTCATGGGTTTCCATCATGATAAGAGGGCACGTGTACCGTCGAAGTCAGGACGCTGATAGATTCTATGAGCAGCCATTGGATTCCACCCAAAATAACTAAAAACAAAGCCCGACCCGCATTCTCCACTCTCTGCTCCTGCTACTGTCCAGATCCATTCCTTCCATTCTATCGTCAGTGATGGACCACCACCCAAAATCCGCCGATTCCCGCCGGCCGACCACCAACCAGGATCCCGACACGGTTCGCCGCCCCAAAAGACAGCGAAGTTGCCCCTCCCCTCTCCACTCCGTCGGCCGCTCCGACGACTCCTCTTTCACCTTCGACACCAAAATCTCCGACGACTCCGCTCCGGAGACCACGCCGAGGTTCGGGTTCTTCAGCGACTGCATAAAGACCGGCAAGCTTCTCAATGAAGACCAAATCGGAGACGGCGAAGTGGTCCGCCTCGGCGGCGGCGGCGACTACGCTCAGAATCAGAAAAGAGCTGTGGGGTAGCTGTAATTATGTTGAAAACAATAGGCTTTCTCGGAAAACAGTTATCAATTCCTGACCATTTTCTTTTGTTATAGTTTCTCTGATAGGGATTAATTAATGAATCAATTAATTAAGGGGTTTATTATTATATTCATAGAAAAGCCCCGTTTCATTGGACTTGTAATAACGATTTGTAAAGAAAGGGTTCATTTCCGCAGTTGTTCTTTTTCAATCATTTTCACTGTCTTTTAAATGTTACACAAAAAATTCAAAAAAAGAAAATTTTGCATTCGAAATTCACATAGGGATTTTTGGTGAACCTATTTAATTATTAATGTAATACTCCTTCCGTCCCAAAATGATAGTCCTATATTTGCTTTTTGGGATGTTCCAAAATGATGTCTTGTTTCTCTTTTTCGAAAGAAAGATGTGGTCCATATCGTTTACTTTATTATCTTCAAATCTCAACCATAACTTTTACTTTTTCAACCACTTTATTAAAATTTGTGTTCAAAAGAAATAATGACGGCGGAGAAGGTGGAAATCGTCATTGAGTACGCGTTCCAGCTGATTCTCAGATTCAACAAGTAAAAGGGGCAACCTTTACTACGGTTATTTTCATCGACATAGCCGCACGTGTGGGTTGCTGTCCTCAGAGTCTCCTATGTTTGACAAACCTTTGTTGTATTGTACTCCACCGTCCCTTAAAACTTTGTCATCTTTCCTTTTTGGGACGACTCAAAAACTTTGACACTTTCCCTTTTAATCAATTATTTTGTGTTTTCTATTATTTCTCTCTCCTCTGCACAAACCTCAACCACACAATTTTTACTTTATTATTTTCCGTGCCGGTCAACTTTGGCAAAGTTTTAAGGGACGGAGGTAGTAGCACACATAAAAATAAATCAGGTGTGTTTGCCATTTAACGATTAGGCTACCGGCAAACGGCACATAACTGAGTCGTCAATAGCGGATTCAATGAATGACTTTGACTAACGGAATAAGTTGTTGAGTTGTCAAAACGTTAATCCTAGACTCTCCTACTTGTAGTGTTTCCGTATCCAGGGCACAGAATAATTTTGAAAAAAAATTACATGAAATTTTTTACACTAAAAATATAGACATTTTTTTTAATTTAGGCAGGGCCAGGGTTGGCCCTCCCCTAACTACGCCCCTGGTTTCCACGGGTCCATCCAAAAACGCTAAAACCAAACAGTTATTTACCAAACAACGTGTTCACTTATTGAAAACGTTGAAAGATGATCAAACTGTCATTTTTTGACAACTATTTCAAACACCCCCGATTACCTCACTTTTTTAAATAAGCGCATAGTCCGCTTTCACTTTTGAGGTTTGCTAATGTATGATTTTGACCATTATCATATTTAATTCTATTTTAGTAAAAAATCAGATTTTGAAAATTTAATTTAGTAATTTTTTTTAAAGAAATTATATTAAATGGGACTAAGACATGGTTAAAACTCCAAAATAGGACTTCAAGTTTTAAATTTCCTAAATGGGACTCCACATTACCTTTTTGCCCCTAATCCCTAAATCAGTCGTCGCTGCATTCTCGCCATCGACTGCAATTCTTCGTCGACTGCAATTCTTCTTCGACTAATCCCTAAATGGGACTCCACATTGCCTCTAACCTTTCTGCACTCGTCGCTGCATTCTCGTCATCGACTGCAATTCTTCGTAGCAGCCTTGCACATCTCTTCCTCCTGTGGACTGCATCTCCGCCATCGGCTATGGCGTCGCACCGTAGCTCCGCCATCGACCATAGGTATCCTCCTCCCCCTCCTTTCTTCTTATTCCACCTCTTCTTCTTCTTCTTCTTCTTCTTCTTCTAATCCTCTTCAAATTTTTGGTCCTCTGTTCTCTTCTTTAAATTTTTTGGATTTGAATTTTATTTATTAATTTGGACCTTTTGGATTTGAATTTATTTATTCAGTAAAATGTCACTTTTATAATCCGAGAATGTCAAAATTATTGGTTATTTGGAAAAAATGTCACGTTTGTGACAGTTTATGTACTGGGATGACAATATGAAAATGTCACTTTTGTTTTGAAAATGTCATGAAAGTGACATTATTACTCTGGAAATGTCATTTTCTTCTTTGAAATTGTCACCTTAGCAAATGTAATGTCATGAAAGTGACATTATTAGAAATCAGTGTTCAATTAAAGATCAACTATGTCATTTTTCAGATTGAAGTGATTAGAACAATAATATGAATCTTTTAAAAATAAATTACTCAGGATTATAAAAACTTGGAAATCCAAAAGAAGAAGAAAATAGAAGACCTGTAGAAGAAGAAAACAAGGGAGCTTGAGAAGAAATTAAGAGATGAGTACAAGAAAAAGATCGGAAGAAACTTACCTGGGGAGCCGTTCATCCGTGCATCGCAACTCGCAAACGACCTTCATCGCAACCAGTGAATTGTTGCAGCCGGAACTAAGAAAGGGCAATTTTGTCCGATCGGTAATTAAAAGTCCTATTTAGGTAATAAAAAACTTAATGTCTCACTTTGGAGTTTTAAACAAGTTTTAGTCCCATTTGGGAAATTCTCTCTTTTTTTTAATAATCTATTAATACATTAATAAATAAAATATACTCCGTAGTCAACATAAAATATGCAAATAGTGAATATTCAACATATTACACCTATTTAAAAAACAGGGTAATATCACTCCATATTAAACTAAAAATATATATCTTCAACTTTTGCAAACCTTCTCTATTATCATTATTTTCTGGGAAAAGGGGCAAGTAAGCCCTCGAACTAACCGAAAAAGTGCAAATCGCCCCTTTTATAGGAGGCTCTGTACGGCCGTCGCCGTTTGAGACGTTTCCCGGTGGAATTTTTTGATGAATTTTTCAGCTAAAAATTCAATCGTGAAGGTAGACAAATGTATGTTTGAAGATAATTGCTCGGTTAAACAACACAATATATTTCAGAAAATCATTTGACTGCCTTCCCGGTTGAATTTTTACCTGAAATTTGGTATGGGTAAACTAGACTTAATGAAGAAGATTCTCAAAAAAAATCATCAAAACATTCCACCGGTAACCGCCCCAAATGGCGACGTTTAGACAGAGCCTCCTATAAAAGTGGTGATTTACACTTTTTCGATTAGTTCGAGCGCTTATTTGCACCTTTTCCCATATATTCTCATCTTCATTCACAATAATGAAGCCATGAAGGCGATGTGTTAAAATTCACAAGCATTACCCGGAAATACCTATATACATAGAGATTAAAAGGAAGAATGGATTGAAACGAAATTTGAATGTGTATTTTAACGTTTATTTTACAAATGTCGAAATCTGAATCGAAAGACAGAAAGTTATAGTGTATAGGATTAGAGCAGCCGTGGTTTCTCCCTCTAGTAGGGTTTAGGTTTCTCCGCAAGCTTTTACGGTTGGTGCAGCAGGGAAACAGTCGATGTTTGGGAGCAGAGATCAGTCGACGTTTGGGGTGTCTTTCTTGCCGATCGAACAGAAAGCGCAGCGCAAGAGTTTAGAAGTGGTCAACGATTCAGGATGGATTTTTCTGATTGCAATTTGAGGGAGTTTGGGAGCAGCGTGGGGAGTTTGTATCAATTATTAGGCCGACACGGGCGATGAGCAGACGGAGAGAGATGAAGACAGATCGACGCTTCGCCTCCCTCCTGAACCGCCACCTAGGAGAGATCGAGGTGTCAGGGTTTGGAAGATAATGTTTCAATAAAACAAAGAGGAAGAAGTTTGGAGTTTTTATCATTTATTTTATTTCTTATGGTTTTCATTTTGTGTTATGATTGTTTGGGTTGATCTATTTTTTGTTCACTCTTTGTTTTTAGATCTACAATAATGATTGACAATTCTACTAGCTATTATGTCGTGCGAAGGATCTATACATATGATCAATAATTGTTGTGTCACACCCATTTGGTAGTTAGCGATCACATTGCTCTTTCAGAATTGCTAGTCATAGTTGATTGCTGATAGTTATTGTCGGTGTTGGTCTCTTTGAGTTTGATATAACGATCTGAATCCTAATGATATTAAATATAAGAGAAAAATGTCAGATTGGCCCTCCTAGTTTGTACGGAAAGTCAATTCAACCTTCGTACTTTAAGTTTCATCAATCAGATCCTCCTACTTTGTAATTTTCGTCAAAACCGACTTTTAGCAGGTAACCCCGCTAGTCAGCAGGTTACCTGCTAACGTGGCGCGCACGTGGCCTGACACATCACACATGTGGTGGCCACATCACCTTTTCTTTTCCTTTTCCCTTTCTTTTTTCCATTTCTTTCTTTTTCTTTCCCTCCATCTTTCTTCTTCTCCATCGCAGTAGAGGTCGCAGGGCAGGTGAAGAGTAGCCGCCGAAATTGAAGGTGCTCGGAAAACTAAACAAAATATATGAGGAGGTGCGCCTCTTCAAGAAAACCTCATTTACGTATTTTGTATTTTCCGACCGAGCCCTGAAGTCGCCGGAAAAAATGCCGGAGTCCAAAAATGAGAAAAAAGAGCAGATTCCGGCCAGCTACAAACCAGCCCCCAAAACTCGTTCTCACCTGCTCAAAATTGATATGGAGAGTCGTCCCTAGCTAGATAACTCTAATCTAGTCTCAAAAATAAAAAACAATCGCCTACATTTGAGTTATGAGCAAAAATCGATCTCCGAAATAACAGTGTTTCCGGCTATATTTGCCGGTCATAGGCGGAGTAACAAAGAAAGGGGGTCGGGAAAGAGACAACACCAAATAAAATAAGACAATCGCAGCAAGATTCCATGGATGAATTGTCATTTGCAAAGAAAATTATGTTTTGGAGGTTTGGAGGAGGAACAACGATGAGGAAAGAGGATTGGGGAAAGGAAAGGAAAAGAAAAGAGAAAAAGGAAAGGAAAAAAGTGATGTGGTCGCCACGTGTGTGTTGGGTCACGCCACGTGTGTGCCACGTGTGCGTCACGTCAGCAGGTAACTTGCTGACTAGCAGGTTACCTGCTAAAAGTCGGTTTTGACGAAAATTACAAAGTAGGAGAACCTAATTGATGAAATTTAAAGTAAATTGACTTTGCGTACTAGGAGGGCCAATCTGACATTTTTCTCTAAACATAAACATTTCTTTCAAAAAAAAACGTTGAAATTTGATTTGATATGATTTGATGTGATCAAATTTGATTTGGTCTGATCTGATTTGTTTAGATCGTTTAAATCTGAGGTATTCAGTTTGAGCCCATTTGGGATTGAATATTTTTAAGAAGAAATTCACTTATGATCTTTCGAGTTTTGCACCAATTCCACAATTAGTCCTCGTCTTTCATTTTATCCATTTTTGGTACCTGGCTATTGTTTTCTTGACCATATATAGTCCTTTTCCGACAGTATATATGCTCAGAAATGGACCACAAATGGTCAAGAAAACAATAGTAAGGTACCAAAAATGGATAAAGTGAAAGACGAGGACTAAGAGCCCGTTTGGCAGCACGAAAATTGGCTATTTTGGCTGATTCCGCTGAAATATATGAAGTTTTGGCTGAAGTGGCTACATTGGCTGATTCTGTTGTTTTAAGAAAAAATTCTTTTTAAAATATATTTTATTAATAAAATAAAGAAAAAATTATATGTAAAAATAGCTAAAATGGTCATCTACAGTAACTTCAGCCAATACAGCCAGAAAAGTAACTTCAACCTTACTTTTTCTGCTTATTACACAATTCAGCGCGCGCAAGCAAACTTACGTGTTTGGTGAAAAAGTTGGCTGATAAGCCTGATAAGCTGAAAAACAGTGTTGTCAAACGCTCTCTAAATATGGAAATGACACAAAACTCGGAGGACCTAAAGTGGAATTAATTCTATTTTTAACTACTCCATGCAAAGCTTAAAACGACATCGTTTGTGAAATACGTGGAAATATGGAGAAAATTTTGAAGCGAGGAAATAGGAGCGAGCGGAAGTTTCTCTTCGTACCGAAAATTCAAAATAATGGAGTTGGGAGAGAGAAAGGAGAGATTTATCAGGAAGAAGACGAGTCTCCCCTGAGACTGGGGATTGATCATATCATATATATACACATACCCCGCGTAAATATAATTTTACGCTACGAAAAAATAAAAGGGCGGAGGAGAAGAGGGGTAGGCTCCATATTTTTGGGTACTTTTCGGTGACGGAATTGTTTCTCTCTCGCGCTCTCCCGTTGCCGATCTTCTCCCTGAATGCCTCACCAGTGTTCAGGGTACTTCTATCCTTTCTCAACATTTATTATGTTTGCTGTCTCCTTTGTCTTCTTTTATTCGTACTCTTGAAATTTGAAATTTGGGTGCTGCATTATTTTTATTATTATTAAAATAAATATTCGACAATTATAATCAATTTATGCAATTATAACTGATAATATTAATTATAATGTCTGTTTTTCATATAAATATATAATGAATGATGAATGTGAATTTGGATCGATTGGGTATCACGTTTGGATTTTGGAAATGTTAGGGTTGTATTATTGGTTTCAATGATTATACTTTTACATGCTTTCCACTTGGTAAGCAGCTTTATGTTTGATTTCTGGGTTTTATCTTGTATCTGCATTGATTGAAATGAAATATTGAAACCCCAATTATGTATCATGTAATGTGGATTTATTGGGTCAGAGATTTGAATTTCGGAATTGGGGAGCAAGGTTCCAAAGAACGAGGAAATCATCTGAATTTAGATGTACATCTTAAAATTGTCTTTTTGTCGTCATTTTTGGCTTTATGCATTGACCATATTGATGACGCTCAAGAATTTTGCAGTCAATTGTGGCGACTAATAAAAGGAGGAGCGAGGGACCAATAACATGGTATGAAAAATATGAACCAGTCTCTGTTTCTTTGCATTCCATCTTCTCTCGTGATCTGAAATATTGTCATAATTCTGTGGATATTGTAATATATTATAGGTGTTCGGAGATTAGCAACATGATTATTAGTATACACTATATCATTCATATGACAAAATCAAGTAAGATTCTTTACTCTTAGTCTTCTCCCTCTTCTAAACCGGTTACATTCTAACTGCCGATAGTCTTGATTTTCCCCAGAAGATGTGAAGGCTAATCTCCCAGGGAAGACTAACCCTCTAGGGATCCTCTAACTATTAGGAGCTCCCTCAGCATACATATTTGTATATATATATACACACTCACCTGCATGAGATTCTTCAAGATGGCTGTAGCTGTTGATCAACACAATTATGGCTTCAAGCTATTTGGTGGCAGACCCCCGAGATGCAAACTCCAATCCTACTCTCAGCTTGATTTCTCTAATCTTGAAGCAAGCCAAAGGAACCCCCAATATCCTCAAGAACATGCGGCTTTTGATTTTCCCAACATCCACAAAAGTCACTCCACCCCTTGCCTGTCTCTCTCCACAAAACTTGAAGATGATGTTGACACTAATCCTCCAAGAATTGAAATCATAGCAGGCCATGGAGAGCCACGTGTGCATGCTCTGGTTATTGAGGTTGCGATAACCCTGGCATCTGGAATTAACCCCGAACCAGTACCAAGCGGCCTGGGTGGTGCATACTTCCTTCAATCTAGTAATGGCAGTAGAATAGCTGTGGCAAAACCGATCGACGAGGAGCCTCTGGCCATCAATAACCCAAAAGGTTTTTGTGGTAGGATGTTAGGTCAACCGGGCCTAAAGCCCTCCATCAGGGTAGGTGAAACGGGCTTCCGTGAGTTGGCTGCCTATCTCCTTGACCATGGTGGTTTTGCGGGTGTCCCCCCCACGGCACTTGTCAAGATTTCTCACGTGGAATTCAATGTAAATTCTTCTGAATCAATTACGCACCCACCTTACAAAATTGCCTCACTTCAGCGGTTTGTAGACCATGACTCTGATGCTGGAGAGATGGGCCCATCATGCTTTTCGGTTGCTTCGGTTCATAGCATTGGGATTCTAGATGTGAGACTTCTTAACCTCGACAGACATGCCGGAAACATCTTATTGAAACAAAAACAAGAAAGTTATGCTGTTGAATCGGCAAAGCTTGTCCCGATCGACCACGGGCTTTGCTTGCCCGAATCGCTCGATGATCCATATTTTGAGTGGTTGCATTGGCCTCAGGCCTCTATTCCATTCTCAGAGTCTGAAATCAAGTACATTTACAGTCTTGATCCTTTCAAAGATGCAGAACTGATCAGAACTCGGCTTCCTTCTATTAGGGAATCATCCATTCGGGTTCTTGTAGTTTGCACCATTTTCTTAAAGTCTGCTGCTGCTTCTGGGCTCTGCCTTGCAGATATCGGTGAAATGATGACGAGGGAATTCTCTGGAGGAGAAGAAAGGTGGAGTGTTTTAGAAACTCTTTGTTCGAACACAAAGGCTAATTTGGAGACTGCTAGAATTATTGATGCTAACGCCAACACTGATCTTCCCGATAAACATGACGACGACCAAGAGATTTTTCAATTTGATTGTGAGTATGACGACATCAACATTGGAGAAGGCTCAGATTGTCTCAAGACCTTGCAGAGCAGTTCAATAAGTGGAAAACCACCTAAAATCCCGAGGTTTTCATCTGTAGGGTCTATGAATACGTTGGATGATAGCCTCATAAACTTCTTCTGTCAAAAAAATGCTTCTGATGACGACAGTATTGAAAAGGCAGAGGCTGGTGATGACAATGATTGTAATGTAAGTGAGAATCAAAAGGGTGGTGGGTTGATGAAGAGCAAGAGCTATTCTGCAGGAACCTACCAAACCGATGGTGAAGGGATTTGCTTTGGTGAGATGAGCAGTATGGAATGGGAGATGTTCTTGGAGATTTTTGAGAAAAAACTGCCCGAGGCTTTCGAGGCCAGAAAGTGTGGTGGCTTGTCAAAGCAAAGGTTGGGAACTTCATACTAGTATATTTAAGCAGAAAAGAAGTATGGAACCCAAAAGACTGCCTTGTATGTAGTGTTGAATATAGGTGTAAATTTAAGCTGAAATGACTTCATTTTAGAATGGTGGGTAGAAGATTACTAGCTTGAGTGGAAACGTGGTGGTTAAAATGTCATCCATTCCACCCACTTTCTCCCCTGATTAAAATATATATATCTCTTTTATATTTTCCTCCTTTTTACCTTTTTACCTTGTTATATTATGACCGTCTGACCCTGTAGAGGAACTTTCATATTATTACATTGTAAGAGAACTGCTGTTACGCTGAAAATACTAATGATGATTCAATGGCAGGCTTCATATACTGCTACTAATGTTCTGTTACTCCCTTGACAATGAAAATAGTTACAAGAAATGCATGATCATAGAACGGTGGCCAAGAAATTTCACAGAATTGTTGTTTGAGAGCATTTGCTTTTCTTGAAAGCAATATCTTATTATTTGTTTTATTTTGTAAAGAATCCTTCTGGACTGGCAAGGTTTCCAACATAGAAATTCACATAACTGCTACTGCTGCTTTTTGGGAGACATCATTTCCCAGGGGAACTCTTTCTGCTTCACTGCCTGTCTGTGGTGCAATCCCTTTTGTATCGAGCTCATTTTTAGGATACGATCTTCCGCTCCCACTGATGAGATCTTTGATGATACTTATAAGAGATTCATCCTTGATCAAGGACTCCATTGTTACATGCACACCTGATTCAAGAAGTAGAAAGTTTGAAATATGAATAAAATAGGACTTAAACTGCTAAACTAATTGTAATGTGCATAAAATAATTGTAATGTGTTTTTGGAAAAAAGAACTTTTTTTGTTATCTACGATACACAAGTATTGTGATTGCAGATGTATCGGGGGGGGGGGGGGGGGGGGGGGGGGGGGGGTCAGTGATATTATAGTTTGAAAGCATGTACCGGCATTTCACTGATAAATAGATTTAGAACGGGTAAGACCAAATAATGAAGCAATCTAAGATCAGGGATATTAAATGTGAAAGTGATGATGCAACCCTATTAATGTCTTATGACTAATGAGTATAAAAAGTCCTAATTCAGTTGGATGGCTTTTAAGTTCTTTTGTATATGTGCTTTTCAAGCCACACACTTCTTCATTTTACCAAATAGGCTTTTATACACGAAAAAGTGAGGTGAGTTTAAAACCACATGAATACTGCCTTCATCTTAGTTTTTAAATACTGGAAAATGAACATGTGACTCAATAGGCAAGGATATGAAAAATAACAGAACTAAATAAAAAGAAGTCATTTCCCTGTGTAGAAAACAGAAGATATGAACTCACGGTATCGCCAATAGTGTCTTGGATTTGTTGGATCATTTATAGTCTCCTCAAATGCAGGGCGAGTTGTGTAATCTTCCTTGAGTGCGAGCAAATCCTGTACATGGATTCAGTAAATATTGATTCCGACTCTATTAACAACTAGACTAGACTATAGTAGCTATGAACATGTGCCTCCAATGCCAAAACCACCTCGAAAAACAAATTCTTACACCCGGAATCAGTGAATTCTCCAAAAAGAACTCAACAAATGATTCTAATGCCCTTGGAATAATTAATGTTTAGGCGTAGCACAGTTTTGTAAAGACCAATACCTCTATCGCTGTTGTAATTTGTGTTTACTTTTACGGTCTTTAATGCCCATTGCCCAAATGTCCATCTTTGACCATTATTATTTACATTTATATATTAACAATATCTATAATGAAATATTATTTCAAAAATATATATTGAACAAATTGTTCAAGAACATTTTCATATTATAATTTAATATCACTTGCACATTTACACGTTGTTGAAGCCCTAATTGTATTGGGCTTAGCCCGTCTTGTATAGTAATCCTAGTGCTCTAGTTTTTGCTATAAATATAGCTACTTGTATAGTTCTTTAGATCAAGATTCATTATAATGAAATACAGTTCATATAGTTCACATGGTATCAGAGCCATTTATATGGCGCACTGTAGTTAGGACACTGTTTTTCTGGCGAGTATTTCCGGCGTGAACAGTAGCCGCGCTAGGTGTTGGAGCACTTCCGGTAGTGATATATCAAATCTACACCTACCACCTTGCTCAGCGCACCATCGCGACCAACCCGCCGGAAACCGTACCAGCTTGGACTCATTCACACGCCTACACGCGCCACCACTCTACCCACAATTTACTGAACGATTTTGCATATCTACTCCGTTTTACTCATCTGCGAGCGACGCCGCCAGGGTTTTCAGACACCTAGGTCTCCGACGACGTAGACCAGTCAATCCGGTACCCTTAGGCTTCTCCACGCGCCGCCGCATCCACACGCGCCGCCGCCGATCGAACTGACCGCCAGAAACGCGCCGCCGGTCCAGACTATCCACCATCGTCACTGCCTTCTGAGTAGACTTGTTATGTGGTCACGATAGTGGTTCTTCCATTTCTTGGTTTTGTTTTTAAGCTTACTATTCTGCGGCTGTCCATACGTTTGTGAGCAGATTAGTCACTTTACTGATCTGCCTAATCTTTTATTTGCTTTAAAAAACAAAAAAAAGAAAAAAATGACAGGTTTCTCTTCGATTGCTTCAGTTCCAATCATCACCACCGATCGACTAGCTGGAAGTATTAATTATCAGTCATGGGCTATTTCCGTTGAGATGTGGTTCAAGGGTCAAGGTCAAATTAATCACTTGAATGTCGAATTGTGTAACGTGTTATGGCAATCTATGGATCCAAAACTTCATCCTACTTATCAATCATACCGCACATGCAAACATATTTGGGAAAAAGCGAAGGCCAACTACACAAATGACATCCAAAATCTGTTTTCCATTGGTTCCAAAATTGCTACGCTCAAACAACATGATTTGGACATTCAAGAGTTTCTAGGACGGGCTGAGGCATTACTGTTTGAATATAATAATATTCAACCTATCACTGAAGATAAGGAGAAACAACTTGAGCAAAGACAACAACTTGTTATGGTTTTAACCTTAGCAGGTCTTCGCCCAGAGTTGTTATCAATCCGTGAGCAAATTCTCTCCAGTTCTTCTGTTCCTACAATGTCTGAAGCCTTTGCCAGAATTCTTTGAGCCGCCCCAATATCTATCGACGCATCTTCAAGTGATTCTATCATTCTTGCATCTCAAGGTTCAGGGCATGATGGGGGAAATCAAAAAGGATATCCACGCCGTGATCGCCCCAAGTATGATTTTTGTCATAGGATGGGTCATACTAAAGATAGGTGTTGGAAGTCAACATCAGGTACTTCTACAACATGTGTGTCAAACACAACTGGCTCGTGGATCATTGACTCAGGTGCTTCCCCCTCTTTTATTCCATATTAAAAAACACCAAAACCTTCCATTAATCACCCTAGCCAATGGTCTTCACACTTCAGTTACGGGTATTGGGCAAACACTCCCACTTTCATCCTTACCATTAGATTCAGTTCTATAAGTTCCTCATAACCCTTTTAACCTTGTCTCTGTTAGCAAAATTACACGCTCTCTTAATTATTCTTTAACCTTTTATGCTGACTCTGTGACTGTGCAGGACCGTTGTACGAGGAAGATGATTGGCGTTGGGCGTGAATCTCAGGGCTTGTATCACCTCCAACCTCTTGATCCAGTTGTTTGTGTGTCCACTGAACTAGCACTTTCCTTACATAATCGTTTAGGTCATCCCAGTCTTTCCGAATTTCGACGTATGGTCCCAGGTTTCTCCAGCATTTCCTCTTTAGATTGTGAGTCGTGTCATCTTGGGAAAGCAACCTCATCAGTCCTTTCTAGGACGTGTCAATAACAGGGTTGCATCCCCTTTTGATTTAGTTCATACAGATGTATGGGGTCCGTATCGAGTCAATTCTACCCTAGGATTTCGTTATTTGGTCATTTTTGTGGATGACTTCTCCCGTCACACGTGGTTGTTTTATGAAAGAACGTCTTGAATTGTTTCATATCTTTCAAAAGTTTTGGGCTGAAATTCACACCCAATTTGGGCATTCTATCAAGATTGTACGTAGTGACAATGCTAAAGAATTTTTTACCAGTCCCTTTAATCAATTCATGACATCACGAGGTATGCTTGATCAGTCTTCTTGTGTTTATACACCTCAACAAAATGGGGTTGCTGAACGCAAGAATCGACATGTAATTGAAACTGTCCGTACAATGTTGTTACATTCACATTCACCACCACAGTATTGGACAGATGTCGTTCTCACTGCATGTCACCTCATTAACAGAATGCCTTCATCGGTTCTTGGTAATGCCATTCCCCATTCTGTTTTGTTTCCAACTCAGGCACTGTTTCCATTACCACCTCATGTGTTTGGGTGTGTTTGCTTTGTCCATGATACCACACCAGGAATATCCAAAATGTTTGCTAGGTCAATCAAATGTATCTTTCTTGGATATTCCCGCCTTCAAAAGGGGTATCATTGTTATTCCCCAGTACTTAGAAAACATTTTGTGTCCGCTGACGTCACTTTCCTTGAGTCCTCATTTTATTACACATCTCCCCTCCATGATACCCCTCCTGTGTCAACTTTCTTCCATATCTCAGACCCATCTCCATCTCCCTTACTGATGCTCCTATCGACCCATCTCCACCAACAACCCATCCTTTACAAGTGTATCAACGACGCCCTCGCCCTCCACCCAATGAGTCCTCGGAGGTCACGCCTGTTGATTCCCCTACTCCAGATCCCACACCAGCACAGTCAGCTACCCAAGTGCCAGAGAACAATCATGATGATTTGCCCATAGCCCTCCGCAAAGGTACACGCTCAACTTTGAATCCTCATCCCATTTATAACTTTTTAAGTTATCATCGCCCCTCCATCCCTTATTTTACCTTCACTTCACATTTATCTGGTGTCTGTATCCCTAAAACCACACATGAGGCATTATCACACCCAGAGTGGCGTCGAGCTATGTTAGCTGAAATAGAGGCCTTACACTCTAGTGGCACATGGGACTTGGTTCCCCTTCCTATTGGGAAATGAGTTGTTGGTTGCCGCCGGATATACACGGTCGAAGTAGGACCAGATGGCAACATTGATCGTCTTAAAGCACGTCTGGTTGCAAAGGGGTATACACAAATCTATGAATTAGACTACACTGACACTTTTTCTCCTGTTACAAAAATTGCATCTGTTCGTCTGATTTTATCCATGCCAGCAATGAGCCACTGGCCATTGTTTCAATTGGATATTAAAAATGCATTTCTCCATGGTGATTTACATGAGGAGGTTTATATGGAGCAACCACCTGGTTTTGTTGCTCGAGGGGATCTGGTTTGATTTGCAGATTACGTCATTCTTTATATGGCCTGAAACAATCCCCGCGTGCATGGTTTGGGAGATTTAGTGTTGTTGTTCGTGGTTTTGGCATGACTCGGAGTGATGTAGATCATTCCATATTCTATAGACATTCTGCAGGCAATAAATGTATCTTTCTTGTTGTATATGTTGATGACATTGTCATTACAGGTAATGATGAGCAAGGAATTGCCCAACTCAAGGAATATCTTTTTAGCAAATTTCAAACAAAAGACTTGGGAAAACTAAAGTACTTTCTTGGTATTGAGGTTGCCCAATCAAGAAATGGAATTGTGCTCTCACAGAGGAAATATGCATTGGATATTCTTGAGGAAGCAGGTATGTTGGATTGTAGGCCAGTGGATACACCAATGGATCCAAACGTCAAACTCGTGTCAGAACAAGGTGACCTCCTGCCTAATAAAGAGAGATATAGAAGACTTATTGGGAAGTTGAACTATCTTACCATCACAAGACCAGATATTTCATTTGTTGTCAGTATGCTTAGTCAATTTCTTGATAAGCCATGTGATGGACATTGGGACGCAACTATCCGAGTCTTGAGATACATCAAGAAAACTCCAGGACAAAGATTACTCTTTGAAGATCGAGGGCACCATGACATTGTTGGATATTGTGATGCAGATTGGGCTGGATGTCCAATGGATAGATGTTCTACTTTTGGATATTGCATTTTGATTGGTGGGAATTTAATTTCTTGGAAAAGTAAGAAACAGGATGTGGTTGCCAGGTCTAGTGCTGAAGCAGAATACTGTGCAATGGCCCTTGCTTCTTGTGAGATATTATGGTTGAAGCATCTCCTCCAGGAATTAAAATACGGAAGCATGAAACTCATCAAGCTAATGTGTGATAATCACGCTGCAAATGGACATATTACTACTCATTATGTCAAAACAACAGATCAACTTGCAAATGTTTTAACCAAGTCTCTTAGAGGGCCTAGGATGCAATATATTTGTAACAAACTTGGGGCATATAATTTATATGCTCCAGTTTGAGGGGGAGTGTTCAAACCCTAGTTGTATTGGGCTTAGCCCGTCTTGTATAGTAACCCTAGTGCTCTAGTTTTTGCTATAAATGTAGCTACTTGTATAGTTCTTTAGATCAAGATTCATTATAATGAAATACAGTTCATATAGTTCACACACGTCAAAGTAAACAAACCTTGACTTCAAAAGTATAAACAAGAATCTCCAAAAAGAGAGAGAGTAGTAGTAATAGTAAATAGTAATAATAATAAAAAACAATAATGCGGTCATTCGGAAACTGTCTGCGCTTCTTTGTTATGAAGAAGCAGTCAGTCCATGCAATTATGGATGAGATTTTCACTATGGGTCATCCGGAAACAGTCTCTCTGTGCTTTAGTACAGGGGTAAGACTGCGTACATCCGACCCCTCTTACCCCACCGTAGGTGGGAGCCTTTGCGGCACTGGGGTAAATGAAAATGAAATGAATAAAAAAAAATAATGCTCCCTTGGCTTTTAATAAACAGTATTTTTGAAGAAATTTTTTGTCCTTTACAAGGATAGATAATTTAGGAACCAAGTACCTAAAGAAAGCAATAACACAATTTAGATGAGTGGAGTTACCTGGAGAGGGAAAATGGACCACATCGATGGGGACTCAACATGCTTCTGCAAGATGAAGTGGGCAATCTCAGGAGTACATTGATCAGGTGGCAATGCATCGGACCCCACCACAACTTGAAAAAACCTACGCCTCCTACCTTCATCTTCTTCCCACCAAGCACGCAGTGTGGAACAATCATGACATGATGGCGCACATACCTGAGGATTAATTAAAAGAATAGATAATTCAGTCTTAAATCTACAAAAGGAAATATATTTATGACTCTAGTCGCATTTATTTTCAACTATAATCTACCCAGATATGGTAACCAATGAAACATTGCTCACTTGTCTGCCAAAATAATAACAACAAAAATACTAATAACAATGATATTTTTGTTGTATACAAGTATATATTATTATTGTTGGTATTGTTTGTTGTTTAATGTTGTAGTATTTTAGGAAATACCGTCATATAGTTGTATTCTGAAGGAATGCCAAATTCTCTTCCAGGTTCACTTGGCATGCGTTGAATGCGTAATCCTATTAAACCCAGCTCTTGCATGACCTGATGCACCAAAATAGTGCTTTTATTTATCAATAATCTTTTTTTAAGCATATCTGGGAAAATACAAAAAAAAAAGTAGCTTATAATTTGATGATTCTGCAGCGTCATCATACAGGAGCAACACAGGCCGGAACCATGCCAAGATCTTCCCCACAAGTGAGCATATCAGATGCATTCATAAGAACAGGCAGAGTCTTCAAAGCATTTTGACGCCACATACTTTCTTGACGGTGGAAGTAGTAATCATAATACAGTCTCTTCACAACACTTTTACTGCAATAAAGTAAGTGGATACATTGAGAACAAGAAGCAACAATCTTAGAACTTTTCTTTAAAAGTTTTATGATGTGTGAATGATTTGTTGTACGTTTGCTCAAACACTTAAGTTCATCATATTTCGTAAAACCACATTAAAGAAAGAATAGAAAGTGATAAACGGCCAAATTCAAGATAGTTCGACACCTGTGCTGATCTAAATCCTTAAAACTCGAAGTGTCTTCAAGATTGAAACGAGGATAAAACTTTCTTGGATCTTCTCGGTCTTTGATAAGGACAACTTCCTGCAACAAAAACAGTATTAGTCCTAGAACAGATAATTAAAGAGAGAACAATGTGTATAATAAAACCTTGAGTTGAACTAGCCAACAGATTGGACTCAGCCTTTCTTATGGCCTATTGAGTGACATCTACCCAATCCAAAATTCTATCAAATGGAGAGGGCAGATATATCAAGGCGAAAAAACTGTGAATGGAGAATGTGTATACGAGAATGGAGAACTTTTGCAAATACTAAATGTACCTGTAAGAGATCAAAGAGATCCCGACGAAGTTTTTCTTCACTCTCTGTAAGAATGGATTTCTCTAACAATAACTTTAGTTTGGATAAGATTGTCTTCTCGGTATTGCACTCCTCTTTAAACTACATTGATTGATGGAGAAGAATATTTACTTCCAAATAATTCATAGAATGTTAAGACATTCTTTAATAGTTATATTTATGGTGGAATGTGATTTTCCCATGCGAAAAAAGAACTTACCTCATAAAAATCTTTTTTATACTCATTTAGGAAACTTGAAGCTATAATAGCCCAAGAAGATTCAAATTTTTCCTGCAAGTTAGCAAAGGAAAACGATGATAAATATCTGAAAACAAAGCATAGGATAAACTTCTTTATTGGCAAACATAGGTTTCTATTTAGGATATTTAAATGTCTCATATATTTACCTATTCATGACAATGATTACAAAAATCCCTTCATTACCATGTGAAGCATATAACGTACCTTTAGCGACTCCAGTCGAATATATGGATGACACAAGCGGTCAAAATCCCATAATCCTTCTGCCTCAAGCTCTTCCTAAAGAAGGATTAGTTTACTGAGTAAATCTAAGATAACACTACATCCTCATCTCACCAAAAAAAAAGATACGTGAGTTCCATACTTCCATCTTATTAAGACTTGAGTGTATTTGTCTTACAAGGTCAACAACCATCGACATAATAGTTCGTATTTGTTGTTGTGTGTTTCTAATTATCTAATGTAGGATGGCTTGACACATATCATTTGTTAGCAGAACTATGCATAACTATCACCCCATAACATAAAACAAAGTATCTATAAATATAGTTTAAAGCGCATATTTGCAACATCACCTTGGCCCTTGTGAAATTTATGTCCAAAGCCTAGGATCTCATATGTATGTTAGTTACGAACAAAAGCAGGACTAGTACCTGGCTAATGGGCATAGATGGCCTAAATTTCCCACAGAGGCCAGTCACAGCATGATCAGGAAGCTCCCATATTCTAAAGAAACCCAATATATGATCAATCCTATAAGCTGTAAAGTACTTCCCCATCTGCAAAAACAGTCGATAAAATACTAATGTTGATGATATCATCTTTAAACAAAAGGTTCTTGAGAAAAAAGGCTATTGATAGAGGACGTAAAAAACCTGGGTTAAACGAGAACGCCACCAAGCATAGTTATCCTTGGACATTTCTTCCCAATTATAAGTGGGGAATCCCCAATTCTGCCCGTTTTTATCAAAATAATCTGGCGGTGCCCCAGTAGAAGTGTTCATGCGGAACAAATTTGGATAGACCCAAGTATCCACACTGTCTCTGGAAACACCTATGGGCAAGTCCCCTTTCAGCACCACTCCTTTCCTTTTTGCATATTGTGCAGCTTCTAGTAACTGCCATCATTATATACTCAGTCAATTGAGAGTAGGCAGCGATACAATAGTAAATACTCAATACATGGCTGATTAAAATAGTAACTTACTTGCATATGCAAATGGAACTGGAGATAGTAATAAAAGGAAATTATCTCATAGTTGAAGCTGTCCTTTGATACAAGTTTCTCGAGCTGAGGAAACAAAAGCAGCATTGTTAATGTGAAACTAAAAATAGAAAAAATATGAGGGGGTTTTCCTAGAACATCACTAAAATATGATTACACAATCATTGCAGAACATAATACCATAGTCACTCCATTGTAAAACTGAACATGACCATGGCCACTACAGTCACTCCAAAAATACCACTATCGTTAATGTGTATTGCAAGTCGCATTTTTGTCCACTATTTTTACTTCAATCATACATTTGTCATTACTTCAAGCAAAAACCTATGTAATAATATATGGAAGTCCCTCTTAATGGTGATGAAAATGTGAAATATGAGTAATTTCTCAAATCCCAGTGTGGAAAAATATTAACAACAACAACAATATCCAAGCCTTAGTCCAAAAAGAGTTTGGGGTCAGCTAACATGAATCCACATATCAAACCGGAGTTTAAAAGGATAAATAGAGAAAAGGGAGACAAACAAAAACGGATCAATCCTCCACATATATACTCTCCCTCCACTTTGTCATGCTCTCATCTAACCCAAGAAGTACCACAACAACAATATACCTTCTCTTCTGAAAACTGAGAAAAGCGGCCCCACTGGCTGTGATCGGATGTTTCAAAAAAGTCTCTGAGGAAACAAAACGCTGCATAGGGCTTCAACCAATCCTGCCCTCAATGAAACAACATCCAGAATGATGAAATTGATATGCACTTGTTTTGCAACATTCCAGGACTATTTTGACTAACTAAAAAATAAAATTTGCAGTGAATAGAGAACACTGTGTGCTAACCTGATTTTCAGTAAAATAATTTTGGAAGGAGCTTGAGTTCAATATATTTTCCTTCTCTAGCATAAAAATCTTCTTGGCAATCGAAAGTTTTGTAGCCAGTGTAGCTTCATAATCAACTGCCTGCAGTTCGTAAAAGTTAAAAGCAGTCTAATTGTGCACAGATTTATCATTTGTGTGACACAAACGCGGGGATGACAAACGCACGCGCACACCCACATACATACACGTGTGAGTGTGTGTGTGTATATATATATATCTGTATGTATATACAGATATATATGTGTAAGTGTTCGCGCGCACATGTATATATGCATTATGCATATATGTATGTCCATATATTTACTCCCTCTGTCCCTTAAAGTACTTTCTTCTTTCCTTTTTGGGATGTCCCTTAATAAAGTCATATTTCCTTATTTAATAAATAAATTCCTATCAATTTACTCTACTATCCTTAAGAAATAATGATTGTATAGTGTTAGACAGTGGCAAACCGTGTACTCTGCAGTAATGTTTACCCTCAGTAGAAAGAGCATTTCAGGATGTCAAAGTAAAAAATATATTTCCTTGAAGTGTGTGCTATTCAAACTACGAAGTTCTTCATATGTGTGTATAACTGTATATACACAAGCCATGCACAACCATGCAACCATGTATATATGTGTGTGTGTGTGTACTATATATGTCCATGTGTGTGTGTGCACAGATATGTATTTATGCATGTTTGTATGTATGTATGTGTATATATACACACACTCACATATATACATGCATATATATAGAGGGATGCTAGGTCAGGCTTCTTTTGTTATTGCCGTTCAAACTTTTGATCAAGGCCGCCAGGATGAAATAAACAAGAGACATCCAAGATCTTACAGCCATGGTAAAGGTTCAGTTTTCATCAAGTAGTTCTGACCTGAGCATTTCTACCCCCCCCCCCCCCTCTCTCTCTCTCTCTCTCTCTCTCTGCGCGTGTGTGCACATATATAAGTACCTTTGCATCAAGCTGAACTCTTGCTTGTTTGATCTCTTGCTGTATGTGAGCAAAATACATCAGGTTTCGGTATTTGCTTTAGGAAGCATGTTTTGGTAAGTTATCAGACAGGAGATACAGAAAAGGAAAATGAAAAAGAAAGGAGATGAACCAAAACCTTGATATCTTCTGAAATATTATCTGAAAGTGCATCTACCCTCAGGTAAATTGGGTGCAATGCAAATACTGACAGTGAACTGAATAACAAAATGGATAAACACAAAATGTCATGTTGCAAACAAGAGGAAATGAATCCATATGGCATTCCCTCTAATTGTAAGGCCTCAGGAGACAGGAGATAACCTGTATGGATATGAATCCCACCACATCCTATGCACCGATGTATCATTAATTGGCAAAAGCTGAACCAAATGAAAGCCACACTGAACAGCCCAATCAACAAGCAACTTGAGGTCAAGAAATTCTCCAACTCCCAGATCAGCCTCTGATCTCACAGAAAACATGGGGATTGAAACACCCGCACCCCGCCAAGGAAATTCCTATTAACACAAAAAACAAACAAATCTTTTTAGTCCACACTTCATTATCAAGTGTTGAGTATCTCACATTGGTTGTGTACAGAGTTAAAAGTCTAGTATAGGGGTGTGAAATGAACTTAAGGATACTATTGGGATGAGTTAGCCCCAGTTTAACATGACATCATATTCTGGTTGAGACTTGAGAATCTGGTTAAAGTGGGAACCTGTTAAGGTATCTCACATCAAGAATTCTGCCACATATCACTCACCGCATAAGAGATAAGCTCTTGACCTCACAGCATACATTCTCAGCATAAGATTCAACCTTAGTTCTTGAGGATCCTTTTGGGGTGAGGTAGACCCAATTAACATGACATCAAAGTCACAATAACGTGAAAGTCTGTTAAAGTCTTAAAGAATCCCACATTAAGGATTTTCCAACATATCACCAATAACTTATGGCCTGGGGTTTCAGGTTTAAATGCAATTTCACCTCTTGAATATTCTTTTGAAGCGAGTTAAACCATTAAAATCTAGAATCCTAAAGTTGAGAAAAGTTGAAAATGTTGTATTGTAGAGAGACTACCCGCATCATTCCATCTGAAAGGATCACATAATTTGGTTGACTACTAATTGTGAAGTCAATGGAGAGCTCCCGATTAGCACCATGTTCCAAAGAAATTGATCCTCCCGCGCCATATTTACAGTATTTGTACGTAAACAGCATTAAGGAAGATTAATTATTGGAAAAGAATAAAATAAAAAACATTAAAATAAGGCACAATGACAGCATGCCTACTGGGAGCAGAACCTAAAAGGATATTTCAAAGGGAAGTCATCTTTTCCCATCAAACAATCTGCTTGCCAAAACGAGTCACCCGAATAATTCAGCTTAACTCCACTTGTTACCTTCCATTCCCCCAGCTTTAAGGAGCTACCAATCACATAAACCTACAAATGTCACATCTTGAATCTTCTTTAAAACTAGTAGCTTATATCAACATCATGATTTTCAAGAAACAGATATCTATCTTACAGATGTCCCTTCCTCTATATGTGGGCAACATATTCTGAACTGTATGATGGCCGAATCTGTTCACACTTCAGGCAAATAATTGATTGGCAAACTGCACATAATATGCAGAGAGAGAAAACAATATTTGGCTTCAGAATGTTTTACCTTGCTGATCCAGTTTGCTTTGAATGACCCCAAAGGGCATTTCAACATCTAAATTCCAACTTCCGCGGGAGATGACATTTTTAAATGCACTTTTGAAAGGAATATCATCAGAACCAGTCTGCAATTAACGATAAAGCAGAAGTTCAATTATTGAAGCAACTACTGAGTAGTGACCAGTGGAGAAATAATACTTACATAGAAACCTAGGAGTAGATAAGAAGCAGTATGTTCAAACTTCAAAGCAAAATTACACTATAACAACTGTTGGGGTTCAATCCTGAGGGTTGAACTCCAAACAATATATGTGGATTTATAATGTTTTATATTTGGGTGATGTAAGAGACTTAGTTTTCGAAGACCAACTCTGGGACATAAATAAGCAGTAGGTTGAGGCTTCAAAGCAAAATTGCACTACGGTAAGACTTGAAGTTCAATCTTAAAAGGTTTGCTCAATACCTTTTTATGTGATTCTGTAATTTTTTATATTTGGTTGATGTGGCATATGTACATAGTAATCAAGAACTATATTTAGGATATAGATAAGCAAGATTCAGGATCAAATAAGAACAGTGTTTAACGTGAGAATGTGAGAACACCCACATTTACCCCAATGTGATGCACAATGAGGCTCGCATGTTGCACTTTTTCACATTAAGCACAATATTACCAAAACGCCACCGCAAACTATTTAATATTGACTTGGTTTCAGGAAAGTTACAAAGTGCACTGGACGATCTCTATTGTGCATTACGTTGGGTTAAATGAGTGTGTTCTCACGTTAAGCATCATTCTTATTGGAATTGCACCCAGATAAGCAATACGTGTAAAATTCAAAGCAAAATTACACTGGAGTAAGACTTGAAGTTCAATCTTAATAAGTTCTCAAAACTTTGGATATAGATATGCAGTATGTTCAAACTTCAAAGCAATATTGTACTCCCTTCGATCCTAAATAAACTTCACACTTTGACTTCATACAAATTAAGGAAATAAATTTGGCTTTACTGTAGAGTACACTGTTGTGACACTGTTTGGCACTGTTTGGCACTGTTTTGCATTGTTTTGATGTAGATAATTTGCCAAATAAGGAAGGGAGAAGAAGTGTGAAGTTTATTTTGGACCTACCCAAAATGGAAAGTGCGAAGTTTATTTAGGACCGGAGGAAGTATTATAGTAAGACTTTGGATTCCTAAATTGATAATTTAAGGCCATAAATGGGTATCACTTTAAAAGGAAACAGAAGAGAAACCACCTGCCAAAGATCACGAAGCTCTACCAAGAGACCATCTAGGGGTAGATCAGATGGCAGAAGCAGTTTCCTCTTCTTTCCAAGCTCCCATCTCACCACATTTTTCTCATCATCCACTACATAATAACTGTACTCAGATTTGAACCCCTGAGGAACGGGTATGGTTCCAGACCAGATGAGCTCGTCCCCGTGATGAGAAGGTCTTAAAAGCAGACCCTTTTTCACATCCCATGAACCAAGGAATGGTTCCGAACCACACACTAACAGGTGATGCCCCCATTGTGTGTAATATGGTATTCTGAAGCTCAACCTTACTGGTTTAAGAAGAGACTTGTTTGCAGTTAGCAACTTCAGATTCACCATCTCTTGTAACAACATCACAGACAGTTTAATGAGTTATACTAACTTGCAGAAACATATATATCAACATGACTCTGCTATAACCAATCATTATTATTGGGTGGCAATGAAATCAGAAGTATGATTCGGTTGATTCCCATGCGTACTTATGAATAAAGATCTAATCTTTGATTAAAAAAGCAAAAAAAAAAAAAAAGCTTTTGACTGTATGACCATGCCCAGTTTAAACTGTAAACCATACCTGCTTTAGCCACAGGGGATTTGCCCTTAGCTTCAAATGATACCTGCTTTTTCAGAAAAAGGGGAATCCTAAAAAAGGTTTCTTTATTTCTTTTTCAAGGATACGAATGTAAGTACGGGGAGAAGAAAAAATCACAATCTGAGGAATGATGGGATTAAAGTCACTCGTCAGTATAATTCAAAGAACAGAAAAACCAGAGAAATATGTGAGGAGGGAGAGGACGGTAAGAAGGCTTTCTTTCTCTCCTGTTTCTAGCAAAGCCAAGAAATCAGTAGAGGCAGCAATACTGTGAAATGATTGATAGCTGACATATTGTCAGTACGTGCGAGTGAGCGCGATTGAATGTCGTCAGTTGTCACTTGTGATCAGTGGCCGGGTTCGGGTCGTGTCGTGTCTCGTGGAAGTAAAGAATGGATGACCCGCAATACATCCAGTAAACAATTTTGCTTAATTATATTCACAACCCCAAAATTATTAAACACAACCATTATTTTAAATATTACTACCTCCGTCCTGGTGAACTTTGTCAAATGCAAAGTAGGTGAAAAATAATAATGGTAAAAATTGTGTGGTTGAGATTTGTGAAGATGAAAGAGAAATGTGCAGAATCACAAATTAGTTTTTTTAATAAGAAAGTGACAAAGTTTTTTGGAACAACCAAAAAAGGAAAGTTGGCAAAGTCTCATAGCAAAACGGCATAGTTATTTAGACAATAGTTAAATAAACTACTTCGAGTATATTCTGAGAAATAATTTTAATAGGTATATATTATAATGTAGTTAGTATTGATAACTGTGATGTTATAAATGTATTATTTTTAATATTTAATGATTAATTTGTAACATAAGATTGTTAATTGTTTCCTAAAATGAAAATGGAAACCTTCTAACGGAACGTCCAAAAAAGAAAGTGAGAACCTTCTCATGAGACGGATGGAGTAATAAATAAAAGTAGCTCAATATCTAAATTGCCCCTATGCTGACATAATGATCCTTTCAATGTCATCTGCGGATCATCTACGGCACATCATTTTATTTACTCGATTCTAAATTGTTAGGAGTCCAAATGGTTAAATTTGGACTCCGTCTATATAAAAACAATGTTCTATATCCGTTAATATTGTTTTTCCCTTCATCCGTTCATCGTCAATAAAATTTATTCAACATATTTTTTTACATATCAATTTAGTAAAACATTAATTAATTTATTATAAGTAATGTTTTCCATTTAATAGTTTCCGTAAATAATTGTGAAATTAAAAATAAATAAATTTCATTAATCTTTTGTTAATGTTTTCGATTAACAAAAATGAACTTAGTTCAAGTAAAGTTCGATTATGAAATATTCAGTTATTTGTGAAGATTTCATGAATTAAAAATTTGTGTTTCATCGTTTTGTAGACTGAAGAAAACTTCAACAGTTAAAACTTAAGAATTTTGGTTTCATTTTATATATTACTCCCTCCGTCCCGTTGGAAGATTCCCATAGCAAAACGGCACGGTTATCTAGACAATAATTAAATAAAGTAATTCGAGTATATTTTGAGAAATAATTTTAATAGGTACTATCCTTCGTTCTTTAATTCTTGCAACACTTTGACTTTGACTGTACTTATATTTAATTATGTATTAGTAAACATTATAAAAAGTTGATATTTTGTAAATTCACATTGATAGGAATTCAATAACATTTTATACGAAATAATTTGACTATGTATATTAGTAGAAAATCATGGTCAAAGTAAGGTTTGTGAATAGTGCAAAAATCACAATGTTGCAAGAATTAAAGAACGGAGGAAGTATATATTATAATGTAGTTAGTATTGATAACTATGATGTTATAGATGTATTAATTTTAATATTTAATAATTAATTTGTCACTTAAGATTGTTAATTGTTTCTGATGGATTATAAGGTATCCAAGTATATTAAAATGGAGAGATTGAGCTAGATAATTGGAGAAGATGAATAGTAGAAATGATATTGTGTATGAATTATGAGTTGTGAAAAGTTAGGTTTACAAATGGCTCCAAGAGGAGTATAAATAGGGAAATAATGGGCCGGGCCGCTAATATGGGCCCGGTAGCCCAACTACATAAAAGACTAATCTAGTACATAGTTACATACAAATGCAATATAAGCAGTACAATAATACAAATGATATCCGTAAGATGTGTGTGGGCCGCTGTCCGGGCCCAATAGTCGTGAGACCCGGGGGTCCGAGTCTATATACTCTATCAGGAGTCCCCCACTCTCTGAGTCGAGAGTATTCGAGGCGAAAGAGAGTAGAACTGTGTGCTGATCTGTCGCCGTCTGGTGAGTAAACTTCATGAACAAAAATTTGAATTTCTGCTTCTTTGGTTAACGGAGACGCTAAGTCCCCCGCTCTTCCAGTCCCCCACTCCTTGAGGCGAGTGTAATGAGGTGAAGAGGAGTAGAGTAATGCGTGTCGGATGATGTCTTCAACAGGGGGCCGAGGGTTGACATCTTTTTATCCACGATGGGGAGATGCCTCGTTAAAAACCTCATTAGGAAAAACCCTGTGGGAAAAAATCCTAATGAGGGAAAAAGAGTACACCGGATGCCCCCAAAATGAAACAAAAGGTGCGAGCCCTTCGGCCTGGAGATGGAGCTGCAGCGGTGCCCGTCTGCTGGATGGTCGAGGCCGATCTCTAGATGTGGGTAGCTCATCATGATCAGTAGTCCTAGTCATCAAATAAAGATGACTAAGGGATGGGTCGAGCGACCGTCCACAATATGATGTCTGGTTCATCAAATAAAGATGACCAGAACGTAAGGCCGATGGGCCGAGAGGCCTGTACGAGAGCTCCATGTTGTCGAATAAGGACGACGAGGCGATGTATGGCCGAGGGGCCTGCATAAGAGCTCCACGTCGTCAAATAAAGACGACGGGGCGATGGTGCGGCCGAGGGGCCTGCATAAGAGCTCCACGTCGTCAAATAAAGACGACGGGGCGATGGTGCGGCCGAGGGGCCTGCATAAGAGCTCCACGTCGTCAAATAAAGACGACGGGGCGATGGTGCGGCCGAGGGACCTGCATAAGAGCTCCACGTCGTCAAATAAAGACGACGGGGCGATGTATGGCCGAGAGAGGCCTATATGAGAGCTCCACGTCATCAAATAAAGATGACGGGGCGACGTATGGCCGAGAGGCCTACATGAGAGCCTCACATCATCAAATAAAGATGACGGAGTGATGTATGGCTCAGAGGCCTATATGCGAGCGCCATGTCATCAAATAAAGATGACGGAGCGAGATATGGCCGATGGGCCTGTAAATGAGCTTCGCGTCATCAAATAAAGATGACGAGGCGATATATGCCCGATGGGTCTGCAACTGAGCTTCGCGTCATCAAATAAAGATGACGGAGCAAGATGTGGCTCAGAGGCCTACAAATGAGTTCCTCGTCATCAAATAAAGATGACAGAACGATATATGGCCGATGGTCCTGTAGATGAGCTCTTCGTCATTAAATAAAGATGACAAAGCGATATATGGCCGATGGGCCTACAAATGAACTTCGTGTCATCAAATAAAGATGACGGAGCGATATATGGCTGATGGTCCTGTAGATGAGCTCTTCGTCATTAAATAAAGATGACAGAGCGATATATGGCCGATGGGCCTACAAATGAACTTCGCGTCATCAAATAAAGATGATGGAGCGATATATGGCCGATGGGCCTACAAATGAGCTTCGCGTCATCAAATAAAGATGACGGAGCGATGTATGGCCGATGGGCCTACAAATGAGCTTCGCGTCATCAAATAAAGATGACGGAGTGATATATGGCTGAACTCTGGGCTCCTTTAGCCTTTCGGCCGGAGACCGCAAGATGTTCGCTATATCTGAATAGGGGGACGAGGCGGTGGACGCCTGTCTGAATATGAGGACGACGACGCTGATGAGTCAGTCCGAATATGAGGACGACACCGCTAACGAACCGGTCCGAATATGGGGACGATGGCGCTGGTGAGCCGGTCCGAATATGGGGACGAGGCGATGATAAGTTATGAGTCATATGAAGGCGACGGTCACCATCCAGGAAGGGAATGGCGAGCCTGGTCGCTAGATAAGGACTTCGGCGCTGGGGCCGGTCTAAATGTGAGGACGAGGCGATGATGAGCCGTGCGTCATATAGGGGCGACGGTCGCCGTCCGGGAAGGGATGGCGAGCCCAATCGCTATAACAAGACTTCGGCGCTGGGAGCCGGTCTTGAGAGAAATAATCACGTCGCGGCCGAGAGGCTGATCGCGATGTGCGGATGACAATGATGAGGAGCCAGTCCGAAATATGATGACGAGGCGATGATGGAGCCGATCGTCATATAGAGGCGATAGTCACCATCCAGGAGGGGATGGCGAGCCTGATCGTTAGCCCAACACACTCGGCGTTGATGAAACCGGTGTTGGGATAGGGTGTGACGTCGTGGCCGAGGGGCCGATCGTGATGCGAGGTCGTCAGCACTATGAGGCTGATCCAAAAGTCCAAGCAGCGGTCGCCATCCGATGAAGGAATGACTGAGACCGGTCTTGGGGATAGATAATCACGCCGAGGCCGAGGGGCCGATCGTGATGTGCGGACGGAGATGATGAGTCGATCCGATAATATGATGACGAGGCAAGAATGAAGCCAATCGTCATATAAGGGCGATGGTCACCATCCAGGAAGGGATGGCGAGCCCGATCGCTAGCTCAAGACTCTCGGCGCTGAGGAAGCCGGTTTTGAGATAGATAGTCACGCCGAGGCCGAGGGGCCGGTCGTGATGCGCGGATGGCGATGAAAAGAGCCAATCCGAAATATGATGACGGGGCAATGATGAGCCGGCCGTCATATAGAGGCGATGGCCACCATCCAGGAAGGGATGGTGAGCCCAGTCGCTAGCTCAAGATCGCGTTGAGACCGAGGGGTCTGCCGCGATGTGAGCATGACGGCGATGATGAGCCGTTCCAATAAATGATGACGAGGCCATGATGGGCCAATCATCATATAAAGGCGACGGTCACCATCCAGGAAGGGATGGTGAGCCCGATCGCCAGCTCAAGACTCTCGGCGCTGAGGAAGCCGGTCTTGAGATAGATAATCACGCCGAGGCCGAGGGGCTGGGCATGATGTGAGGACGACGGCGATGAGGGGCCGGTCCAAAAATCCATGCAACGGTCGTCACTCGGTAAAGGAATGACTAAGACCGGTCTCGAGATAAATAATCACGTCGAGGCCGAGGGGGCCGGTCGTGATATGAGGACGAAGG